CCCACTTGGTATCTCCTTTTGTTCTTTCTTCATCATAGACGGACTGCTGGATGGCGTTTTCTTTTCACTTTTAGCCCTTTTCCCGTCCCCTTCAGCCCTACTTCGCCACGCTTTGCTTCGCCAGCGTTAGTTCATTGATACCTCATTTTGAATCTCCCATTTCCTCTCTCTTATCTCCGTTCGGGAGCTAATAAAACCACCCACCCAGTCTGTCCGTTCATGTATTTGTCCATCTACACGGGATGTTTTTTTGACTTTTGTCTCGATTTCAATTTGGGAGCATTGTTTGTTTCGCTGTCTTCTCCAGTTCTTTTGATTCCCTCTTTTTCATCGGCGATGCTATGCGTTACGTTTGCTGTGCTTGTTGCATTTGAGAGCTGGGCTTGTTATTTCCTCTTCCTACACTGTCTTGGTGGTTCTTTTTTATGCTCCCTCTTCCCTTGATAAATCAATCCTGGACATGGCTGTTGGCTCTTTCGATACTGCCCACATACTTGTCTACATAGTTACTCTGCCACATATACCTTACCTAACGATAGCGCTAGCGAGACTGATAAAATACGAATAATATCTCCTCACTTCATGTCAATGTTCTATTAATCCCTCCCCCTCCGAGTTGTTAAACTTGATAGCACTTGGAAACATATCAAACATAGACTGCGCTTATCCGCGCGGGTACCTGTATTTTAGCCGCGGCGCCGCCAGGGACACGCGCCAAGCGCCGAACCGTAAACTTTTCTGTCTTCCTGCAGGACAAAAACAAACAACACCGACAGACGGACCGTTCATATGTATACATGGCAGTCCAAGGGTATGGACACCCAGATATCCACGGGTACACCGGCGAATACTGACAATGCATTAGGCCGTCCCATCTGATGTCAATCTCCTATCATCCAACATCCCCTTACCCCCGTTAAGCGTTAACGTGCTACGTTTCTCATTGTAACGACCGCATATTCTACCATTCAACGAACGCAACTTCATCAAATCTAGTCTTCAGCCTTATTCAAAAGTGCTGCCTTCCCATGAGTGGCACACGCCATTCGCCGCACCCACCTCACCGGTCTCGAGGCCGCCACCATAGCGATGACCTTCAATACGATTATACCTACGGCCGCGACGATTCCGATGGCTATGACCGTGCGTATAGAAAACGACGGGAAAGCAGAGCAGGAGAAAGCAAAACGAGAAGAAGTGGGTATCGGGGTGTCCACGCCGAGGATGAAGGTGTACATACACCAGATGAAGATGATGTATTTGACGATAGGAGACATAGGAGTAGGAAGAGAGAACAACGGCCGTCGAGAGATAGACAGCACAGAGATCGAGTGCGAACGCGCGATGAACGTGTTGCGTGGGATAGTGCGACTGAAAGTGAGGACATAGTTGACTCAAGGCCGATTTTTGCGCGGCCGCCGAACGCAAACCACTCTCCTCGCACTGACAGGCGCGAAAGAGATCGGGACCGAGAAAGGCATTCACATTATCCTAGTCCCAGAGCCGGGCATAAAGCGAAAGAGTCACCCGCCACTTCTCCTAAGAAACGGGATCGTGAACGGGATCGGGAAGGACATAATAGACATCGGCCTAGAAGGGATAGCACCGCTGACGAAGGTGGTGATAGAAGATTAAGAGACCGAAGGAGAAGGGATTATGATACAGACCAGGAGCGTAAACATAATGAAACAGACACGAGACGGCATGGACGACGGGAGAAGCATACCAGCAACGACTCTGCGAATAGTGCGACTGTGCTACTTAGCTCTGATGCGCTGGCGCAGCTCGACCAGTTAAACCGCAAAGCAGACGAGGACATGAAAAAGAAGGCTCGAAAGGAGGAAATCAAGCAGCAAAAGAAAGAGAAGAAGAAGAAAAAGAAGAAATACATTTTTGAAAGCGGGTTTGCCGGGGACAGCGAGAGGGAGAGGGAGAAAGGCTGGGAAAGCTCAGGAGACATACAAAGAAAGAAAAGGAGGGAGAAAGACAGAGAAAAGGAAAAGAAAAGGCTTGTTTCTGGCGCTTATTTGGAAGAAGGGAGAAGTCCTGAATTAAGAACCAGAGGTGGTGGAAGACGCCGCACTGAGAAGTATCATGGCGGAGGCGGAGGTGGAAGAGGAGGAGATGACTACTACTTCAGTGATGGCTACGATTATGAAGAAGAGGGCAGTGCTGGCAACGGTTGTTTTCAGAACTGGTCCAAAAGGAAAAAGATCATCGTTGTGGTCGGAGTGTGTCTTCTTCTGCTTGCGATTATCATTGCCGTCGCCCTTGTAGTGTCGAAGAAGAACGCCGGCGGCGGAAAGCACCCTGATGGCCCTGTAACTACTGGTCCATCTCACAGTGAGCTTGATGGGATAAGTCCTGATTCTATACCGGTATGTGTTTAACCTTTCCCTCTATTCAAAAATATTACTAATACGTGTTATAGCCTGATGCCAAAGGGACCCATCTAGATCCGTTTTCATGGTATGACACGGCCGATTTCAATGTCACATATACTGATGAAACCGTTGGCGGTTTACCTATCATGGGCCTAAATACAACATGGGACGACTCTGCCCAAGCAAATGAGAAGGTTCCAGCCTTGGATAAACCGTTTCCTTACGGTAAGCAGCCTATACGAGGTGTGAATCTCGGTGGCTGGCTTTCTATGGAACCATTCATTACCCCGTCTTTTTTCCAGCGATACTCTGCACGAGATAACGTTGTGGACGAATATACCCTTACTAAACGCCTGGGGAATGCGGGAAAACCAACGTTAGAAAAACACTACGCTACATTCGTAAATGAGCAGTCGTTCAAAGAGATTCGTGATGCTGGATTTGATCATGTTCGAATACCGTACGGATACTGGGTAGTGACAACCTACGATGGTGACCCTTACTTCGCTAAGATGGGCTGGCGATATCTCTTGCGAGCCATTGAGTATTGCAGGAAATTCGGCTTACGCGTGAACCTGGACCTACACGGTGTTCCAGGGAGCCAGAATGGATGGAACCACTCAGGCCGTCAGGGCGAGATAAAGTGGCTCAATGGTGATGATGGCGCTAAATGGGGCCAAAGAGCACTCGACCTACACGACCAACTATCTAAATTCTTTGCTCAGCCTCGGTATAAGAATGTCATTGCTCTATATGGTCTCGCAAACGAACCGATGATGTTGAAGTTGGACATCGAGCCTGTTTTGGATTGGACCACCAAAGCCGCTAATATTGTCGGCGGGAATGGAATGAAGCAGAAAATTGTTTTTGGAGATGGCTTCTTGAAGTTATCGAAATGGTCGAGTATATTGCAAAACACTGGTCATGACTTGATTATAGATACACACCAGTACACCATCTTCAACGCCGACCTGATCAAACTGACTCACAAGAAGAAGCTTGAATTTGTTTGCGATAGCTGGGTTGATTTAATCACAAAGAGCAGTACAAAAGGGAGTGGGTAAGTAATATATATAATGCCCAACTTCTGACTTTTTCACACAATCTCTGACACGTTATAGCTACGGTCCGACTATCTGCGGTGAATGGTCCCAGGCCGACACGGACTGTACAATCTACATCAACAGTGTTGGGGTCGGATCTCGCTGGACAGGCACAATGGACAAAAACCCCATCGGCGGAAATCCTGTCCTCACACCATCTTGTCCCAGTGGCAAACAATGTTCCTGTGATGCGGCAAATGCAGACCCATCACAATACTCAGATTCTTACAAGAAATGGCTCAGGCTATATGCTGAAGCTCAGATATCCGCCTTTGAAAAAGGCTGGGGCTGGTTTTACTGGACTTGGGACAGCGAGTCTGCTGCCCAGTGGAGTTGGAAGAAGGGAATGGCAGCAGGTATATTACCTGCCAAAGCATATGAACCGGAGTTCAAATGTGGTGACGATATTCCTGATTTCGGTGATTTGGCGGAGAATTATTAGTTTATTTTTGGATATATCAACTAATATGTTTGGATTTTGGATATTTGGTGGTTTAATTGCTGGAGCAAAGGGGCATGCATGCATATGTGTATCATTTACGCTATTTTTATCCCTCTTGTGTTTTTGCATTGGATGTATATATGACGTTTGGACGGTTGGGGCCATGATTACCTATGGACTATGTCTAATGCCAATATTCTTTAACACCTTCGTTCACCTATGATTGACGACCGAGTATCATGGTGAAATGAAGGCCATGCATAAAGAACGAGACTCAAGTAAGCAAAAATAGAACAAGCCCTTCGGCCGCTTAACAACAAGCCAACTAGTCACTTTCTCAAACGGAGACAAAGACTATTCACTGACTGGCTAACTACAAGAGTTGGTCAAACGAGAAGAGTTTCACAATCGTCGATAGCATTCTCTCTGCTGTCGCGCACCCTTCAAGTCTCGACATGGAATCGACAAGGAATAAGACACCCGAGATCGCGGTAGCTTCTTTAGTTACCCAACTCTTGGTACATTCATGCGCAAAATCAACAATCATGGCCGAAAATCCATGAATACCTCATGGAATGTCCAATCCTGTGCCTGACGGCGTAGGCGGCCTGCAAAATACTCGACATGGCCACCCCAGCCGTCCTCGCGCAAACCAGGATTTACATGGCCTCCCTTGGTCAACACTCTTTCTGCCGCCCTTGCATTGACTGGATGGAGCCTACCTTGACATCACACTTGGCGTAAGCCTATCAAGTGTGATCAAGCTGTGATATGTTGGATGAAGGCTATGGAAACTCTCGTCCCAGCGCTATGATTGGCTGCAAGTACTGATGCTTGATGTTCCTGGGCGCTTAACAGCAGTTCTAAATTGGGAACCGGGCCGTCCGCTGCATCTATTCGATAGCAGCACTGGGACGCCGGCCCTCAAGGAGCCACTCTTGCTGCAAGAAAGAGGAGACAGGATGCTTTACGGCTCTGTGCATCAGACGTTATTTATGGCGGCGGGGCGACGCTGTGGTTTCTTCCTATATAGACGATGGTTCGCCCATCTTTATACCATCTACATTCCTTTGGAGTTATAACCAGCTAACTCCTACAGTCAACACGAAAATCGAGCAAGGGTGTTACCACATACTGTCCTTACCTGATATCTCTGTAGCGCCTTGGCTTCTGTTCTATCCTTATATTTTCTCGGTGACAAACAAGATTCACGAAGCAGTGAACGCAAGAATGGCTAACTCCCCCCTTTTCCGTCTTAATATACTGCCCCTGTCATTATTTTCGCTGCTGGTATCAGGACTTGCAGGAGCTGTTCCAGCACCGCATCCTGATTCAACAGATTATGAAGGAGTTGTTCCTGGAAGCCTTGGAGATGCTGGTTCGGACGGATCCACGGGTGCATCTGGAGCAGAGGGTGGATCAATCAAGATACCAAAAGGCGGCCTAATAGCAATCATCATCGTGGTGGTAATCGTTGTTATAATTGGAAGTACGTCTACTACCATCTATAAAATCGATTTCCTGATGTATTCATCAATCTAACCATTCATAGTAACCACCGGTATCCTCTTCTACCAAGCAAAGCGGAGACAATGGACGATGAAGGAAACAATGCGATACTCAGTTCGCAAGGTCGCCGAATCTATCAAGTCTCCGATGACGCCGACATTCAGAAGCCGCAGTCAATACCCAATGACCCCCGCGGGAGCCAAGGCAGTGGGATCACGGCAACCCAAGTCCTCACTGCAGCCCAAAAATCCAGTGTCTCACTATCAAAACCGCCTGGCTAAGCCAACTGATCAATACCCGCGTGTGGCTGAGGGAGAGAAAAGACGCAGTGGAAAATCAGATTTTAATTTCTCCAAGCTGCTTTCATCCAAGAGCAGTAGATGAGGGAGCTGGTATTAAAACATACTCATCAGAAATTTATGCCGCAATGTGAAGCCTGGTTTTGCTTTTCTTCTAGGGGATTGTCTAGAGTAAAGGTGTTTAGCTGCCTGTCAACGGATTTGCTGTCAGATATTTTTTTAATGATACCACTTCATACGCACCGCATGTAAGACTACACTATTAATCATTAAGACTACACTATTAATCATTAAGACTACACTATTAATCATGATAGTGTGGTCTACTTTTCGTTGTAAATATACAAGCAACATACTCAAACAGCAGAGGTTCCAAACAAGCTAGATATAAATCATGAGAATGCCAATATACATTTTTCATTTTATGTATCAAATGAAAGAAATACCCCTCCAATGTAGACAACTCCGTAGGGCCATGCAGTAAACCAGTGACAGTTTATGTTAGTAATGAAATAGAACTGCTCGCGCGTGAAATCCTCCGATACTCTGATACCTTTGGACTGAGCGCGTTCTTTATATTAGCGACATTATCATCATCAATCGAGCCATGACCATACGGCCCTCTCTGCCGAAGTCTGGCCTCCTCTGCCTCCACTTCTTCTGCGCTGGTCATGTAATAGTGTTCTTCCTTCTCGTCCATGGAAATCATCCATCGCTGCGTAAGTTGTTTGCCTTCCGGCCCGCCACCACAGGCTCCGCTGACATGGATGCTAGGAGGACTATTAAGAGCGAGGGCCAAAGTATTTTGAGGTTCGGTGAAATCTGTCAGCTGGACGCCTCGAAACGCTAAGTACAAGTACACTGAGCAAATCAGATTTGTGACCAGGACGAGTGCTAGCACGGCATAAAAAACATTTTGCCATGCTGGCGAATTAGCTCCCGAGGCGTAGTCCGACGCCCATACTGTAGCGTGAAACTGTTCGTACATGGGCTCATGAAGTCCAGCCATCCGTGCATCGGCAAAAGTTTTTCTATGGTTGAATGTAGCATCCTGTGTCCCAAGTAATAGGAGTGAGCTGGCCATTGCTGCCAGGGCTTCAGCAACGGATGGGAGATGGGGATCCAAGGATGAAATGTTTGTCTTGATGTCTGAGTTGGGTATTAGCTGCGATAACAGCCGGGCGTTGCTTCCATAGCCATCAGATAGACCTGTGTTTAATGCAATAGACCTGGCCCATTCCTCAGCAACGTTTTTCCAATCTTTATCAATCATAATTGGAGGTGCATCTGGGGCAACAGATTGGTATGTCATTGAGTCCGCTGCCTTGCCACACTGGGAGTAAAGAACACCGCCGCTGGAAGCCGCTTCATATTTTGTTAGGCATTGTGGTGTCAGCCCTCCCTTCATCTGGCATAAATAGTGAGGTGGATATATCGATGGAGGGGATGTCCCTAGGAGGTAGATTGAGTTTGTCTCGAATTGCCCCGTAACATTGATAATCGTATTATATTCCAGTGGAATCTTGGGAAATATAGGTGGTCTTTGGCCTCTATCGCCAAATTTCTCCCCAAATTCAAAGATGTCATCGACCACAGTAGCGTTCAACCAATCTGGGTAATTAGGCATATCAGATGTCTGATTCATAAGCCAGGTAGATGCATTGAATTCAAAGTTAGGATGAGGCCATTTGGTATATATGATGGGAGCTAGTTCTTCCTCCGTCATGCCGGCACAAATCACGTTGACAATCGGTGATGGAACGGCAGCTTTAATATTGAACTCTCCTTGCCCTCCAAGATCCTCTGGCAAGCGGATGTTATTCTTGGGATGTCTAGCTGCCGAAAATATACCAGCGTGGGGCATTGCTGCTGTAACATTGACGACCATCCGACCCCATTTTATAGAGAGTTCTGTCATATTGTAGGACTCAATCCAGCTACCTTTGACGGTTGTGTTGTCGTACCAGGTGCCACTTGGCGGAGGGCGTAGAAGCATGTCCGTTGAGCCCTGCCCAGTACTAAAATCAGTCCAACGCCCCAGGTACTGCTCGTAGTTATGAAACGATCTGCCGGAAAATGCAATCTGCATGCAAGTTGAGCCTCGATTCACTGGATCGACAGCCAGGGGTACCGGACTTTGGCAGTTGCTGAATAGATAGGTGGAGTTGGCGAATTTAGTGTTAACTTCTCCCGTAAGTTCCCTCGTCTCAGGAATACCGGCCGTGAGTCTAGGGGACACAAGCGCCTCCGCGGCCGTGGTATAAAACATGGCAACAAAGGTCGTTGTCATTGCAATGACCCCTAGCAAGGTAAGAGCCGAATGCTTAACATTTTCCCAGTGAGTTATTAGGGTTCCTGGCTGCATGACCCACGTACGCATCGACATATCTGCAATTGTGATTCCTCCAGCATTTTTGCCCAAGGCTTTTCGACTGAGCACTTGGCCGAGGAAAGCAACGAAAACGGTAACAAATGATAACTCAATTGTCTTCGCAAACAAGGCACTTAACAAAGTAGCTGTAGACGGTGCCAGGCCTCCTTTGCCTCCGATCCTGTTTCCATAATGCGGTTTTATGCAAGCAACAACAAAGTATATCGCGGAAAATGCCGTTGAATAGAACGCCAGGACTAATATTGCAATCGATAGCCATGCGCTTCGTCGCTGAACAACACGTCTTCGCGTTGGACATTTCACACGCTTGGGACGGTCTATGGAAAGGATGTTTGTTAGAAGAATTACGCATGTAGATCTTTCAGATGCCCAACGTACCATATTCCTGTCCATTTCCTGGCTCAACTATGCGAACCGTGTTGGAATCCGAGCCATAGGACTGGAAAGATGAATTGAATGAAGGTGATTGGCGATGGTATGCTGTCGAGAAGTCTGGAGAAGTGTCTGCACTCTCTCTTAGCAGCGAGGACTCGCTGAAATTCCTCGAGTGGTGAGATGGATGGTAGCCCAAGTCTGATTCCTCTCCCATTCCACTCACTGGTCCGTTTCCGGGCTGGCCAATCCCTAATCCAAACCCTCTGGCTGCTGCATCTCGATAAGCAGGAGGGGTTGCGGGATTCGGGGAGCCATGTGCTTCGTATAAATGAAGAGATGGCTCTTCAGCGGATGATAAACGGCGATATGCAGCATTATTCCGCGACGGCAATGCAATTGAGTCTCCTCCACGATAGCGGTTGCTCGTAGTTGGATGGAGAAAGATCTGATCAAAATCAGAATCTCGCCGTGGCTCCATCTGCACAGAGCTCCCGGCGAACTCTGGAACGTACTCCGTAAACGTATCTACACTCTCGGCATAGATTAGATAAAGACTAGGAGACAACAGAGGAGTGTAGGGCTATCGCAGTAAGTAGTATTTAATTAGTTACAACAACCCTAAGACAAACAAAGGAGCTGTAACCGCGCCAAAACTGTCAGGCTCGACTGTTTTGTCTGCAAACAATCTGACAGCGGATATAGTTAACCCAGCACGAGAAAAAAAGACTCAGCTGGAACAAACAGGGCTGAAAGTACCTTTCAGCCTTATATTTAAACAAGGGACGGTCAGGGACCTTTGCAACTTCATAGAGAGATTGCTGGCCGGGTGACAATAGCCGAGCTCTCAGCCACAGCCTTCCCGTGTTTCCTCGATCATTCTCAAGCTCTATCAGGGCTGTGATAAGATGGCGCGATGAGACTCTGACAAGTTGAACTGGCTGGTTCGAATGAGAATCGTTGTTTTCCCCGTCATTTAAAGACAGGCCAACCACAAGGCGTTTCACTGCTGCGAGCGAATGGAGACTGTCTCGTTCTTGCTGGCTTCTGGTTGGTTTGTTTTAACCAAGCGCCCAATGCGGGATCCAACTGAATCCTTCGGGCTTGGAGGCGATTTACTGGGGAAAATGTCTCCATCGAAGTTCACCAGTCCATGTTTGTTCCCTATCATTGATTTTGTCAGAAATAGGGTTGCCCTCGTTGAATATTCAATGTTCCCAGAGTTCTTCTCGTATACTCTTACCTTTGCCCTTACTCTGGGTTGCTTATTCCGTACGGAGTAGGTATCGCTCGTTTGATAATTCTTCATCTTGTCATGAAGAAGCACTCAACTCTGCGAAAAGCGTTCGTCCCGGTTCCTCCAACACCATTATCCTATACCCATTTATCCCTGGTGCATAGAGTCACGGAGTTGGTTTTGCCTGTAGTTATCCGTTTGTTTTATCAAATGAAGTCGGAGGTTGGTTCGTTGGCGAGTGGACCATCCCGTGACCTGCGATGACCAAAAAGGAAAGTTCGCAACGTCTTCTCTCTTCTCCTCCTGTCGACTTCAAGTCTTCAAGATACCAACTAGCAGCATCATGGCTGAGGCTGCTATGCATGATGACGGGCTCTCCCCTACCTCGAAGAAGATACTCAAGGAGTGTACTGTCGAGTTGCCTGCTGCTGCTGTCAAAGACAGCCGTATCTCCTTTGTTGCTAGGCCACCTAGCTCCAGCGGACAGGATGCTGGATTCTACTTTGCGAGGCCAACACTCCCAAGGAGGGCCTTTACTTCGCATCCGCAAGCCAGGTCTTCTCGGGCTACCAGTGAAGAGGACAAAGGTTTATCTCAAAGGTATCAATACATGGCACTACTACTTGCCAGCTGGGCTGTTCTCGTGCTGACTCTCATTCCAGCCAGGGGGATGATGAAAGGGCTTTGCCACCAGATACGTCATCGCGGGATGAGATGGTTATCGTCGTGGATACCAATTCCGTAGACAGAGCAAAGACCAAATCCCCAGAGAGGGCTAGGACTGTTTCCCCTTCATTGGAAAGGGCTACGCCTGCCAAACCAACATCAAAAATCGTGCAACCTACTCAAGATATCCCACAACTAAACTTATTCAACCATATAGAAAGAGCTGTTTCTATAAATACCCAGCAAGCTACCGAAGATGAATTATTCAACCTGCTGATACAAAAATTGAAGAAGCGGGAAGAGGCTGAAGTAGCGGCATCAAAATTGATAGATGAGCTAAAAGCAGGCCTCTGTACTGCAGATGATCACAACAAGCAGCTTACTACTCGGATAAACGAGTTAGACCATCACTGCAAAGAGCACCAAAAGGAAAAAATTGCCCAGAAACAGTCTGTTGAGCGGTGGAAACTTAAATTTGGTAAGATCAGGGCCCTCATGGCTGGGATTGCAGATCACCAAGAGAGGCTTCTCAAGGAGTATCGAGCCATTCGAAAAGAACAAGTTTCACTGAACGTGGAGAAGGATCAAATGCATGACAATCTAAACTATCTCACCGAAAGCACCAAAGGGTTGGGAAAGAACATTAGTCAATATAAGGCTCAACTCACTGGGATCATTCATCAGTTTACTGCTGAAGGAGATGCACTTAAATCCCTCTTAAAGTCAAAAGAGTCCCATCTCAAGGAAGTAGAGCAGCTATTGGCTGAAAAGAACCAAGCTATTGAAGAAGCAAACGCCCTTGCTCGAAAAACTGAGGCCGAAAAGTTAGTTCTCGAGCTAAATTCCAAGGAAGTTGAGAAGAGGATACGAGAGGAGCTTTCTAGGGCAAGCTTGATGTCTAAAGATCAAGAGCGTGCTAGGTTCGAACAAGAAAGACACACACTTACCAGAGAAAAACAGCAAGCTGAATCAGAAGCTGCAAAAGGCAAAGAAGAGCTAGAGGCTGTCAAATTATCTTTGGTATGTATGACTTTTCTGCTCCTACATTACGCTAACAACCTTTGAAGGCAGGTAGTATGTCAAAACGCGAAGAGTTACAGGCTACGGTATGGTTTGGATCATGAGGAATTTGACATTTCCTGTGTTACTGACGATAATTCAGGTTGTTTCCTATCAACAGAGGGTCAAAGATATCGAAAATAAATGCGAGGTTGTATCAATTGCCCATGAACAAGCACTTTTTGCGCTTAAGCAGTACCAAACGTCACAATTAGGCGAGAAAGAGAACGTGCAACAACAACTTCAAGCTATTCAAAACGAGAATGTAATACTGAAGCAGGAAATTTCAGCCCTAAAGCTCACCAGCATGGCTATTAGTGGAGAAAACGCAACCCTAAAGCAGGAAAATGCTACCCTACAACAGTGTAATATAACTAAAAACGAGGAAAATGTCTCTTTACAACAAAAGGTTGCAGATACCAAGGCACAATTGGACACTCTCGAGAAAGAGAATGCAAATGTTCAGGCAGATAAAGAAGAACGAGAGAAAGAAGTTACGGATCTCAGGGCAGTCAAAGCTACTATTGAGGCAGAGAGGACAATTATCCAAGCAGAAAATACTGTCTTGAGACAGGAGAATGCTGAGGTCAAGGCTGACAATGCTGCTTTAAGGGCCAAAAATGCAGTCCTTACAGGACAAAAGGGCAGATCTACGTCTGATAAACCGGCACGCGCCCTCAGTAGTGGTCTGTCTATTACCACACCTCATGGCTCTGAGAATGCCGGCATTAAGAAAGAGAAAGATGATACATCCACTTCGTCCGAAGAAATCCTCAATGGAATACAGCCAACGGCTGCCGTGCCAGCACAGCGCAAAACACAATTCCATACCCCTTCAGGAGGAAACAAAAAGAAAAGGTCAACCATTGCACCCACGGCCCCTAGACGTCAGTCTCGCATTTCATCTAGATTTTTCGATCCTCAGCCAACACCAAGTCCTTCACTTTCTGTGATCACGAGTCAACAAGACAGCACAACCTGGACGGTCAATCAGTCTGTAGATACCTTTATGTCACAATCGAGAGTTCACAGAAGGAAGAGACGTAAAGGTGAGTAAGAAGATATGCTTCTAGTCGCCTCTATTTTGAAATACTGATCATGGAGTAGAAGAAACATTCAGCAATAGATTCGGGCAGAAATATGCTTTTCACTGAAAGGTGGTGTGTGGTTAATGTAAGTATCTACATGAACTTCATTATAGAATAGTCACATATATAGAAGGCCTGTGATATGCCTGTTAGAAGGCATACTCGGTTAATCATAGAATATTTTCAGCTTCACCTATTCAGTTATCCTTGCGTATCTTCATGACTATTGGGTTTAATTTCTATGCATGCAGTTCTAGTTGCCGAAGGCCCCGTTGGGGTGTTAGTAGTGTTAATAAAGCCGGGAAGGCCAAGTATGGGCTTGATTTAAGTGCATCCCCAATGCCTTTAATGCTAATAATAATAATAAAGTCACAAAAAGAAGAAAGATGTCCATAATATACAGATTATCAATCGCAGTAACGCCCGGTTTCCTTTGCCCTCTCTATGACCCCAGAAGAGCAAATTGTCACGTATGACATCATTGAGAAGTAAATTTGTGACTTCAATCTCTAGAGTATAACTATCCACGGGGAAGGAATCGAGAGTCCATCAATTCGGTTGAAAGCGACTTTGTGTGCAGGGTCGCCTTATCAACGGTTCGGATATTCAGTTGCGTGTGTTCTATTTCCGCCGTTTCGCCTCCAAAAATAACACTTGTTTCTTGACCACGGGGTCGTATTTCAGCATGCTGAGCGGACGGCTCGCTCTTGGTCTTGTGAAGGTCTTGTAGTAGCCGGTCATTGCCATGGAGATAAGCCGGACGGCGATCGTTCGAGATTTAGCTGTCCTCGTAGAAAAATTAGCAATTAAGCATCAATATGAAGATACGAGCGGATACAGGTAAATCAATAGACAACTAACCTTTCTTAGCCATGATGTGTAGAAGGAAACAGCTAAATTGGTCGTTCAGTCGACTCGAGCATCAATTTGTGAAGTGTTGAAGGGAAAAAGATTGAAGTATCATGTGACCTTGCGGCAACTACCGCGCTTGTAAAATTTCTCGCGCTTGGCGCTTATTCGCCAATAATGTAGATGCGGCTCATCAGTGTACTCATCAGGATGCCTCTAGGAGTAGGCAAGAATACTGGTTTCCTTTTTTTTTTATTTAATCAAAAGTATCGAAAGTTGATCGCTTTAGTACGTACATACTCTGATGCTCGGGGTAAGAAAAAATTTACATGAAAAAAAAAAAAAAATAAATAAAAAATGATGGGCCTGATCGTATTAGAATAGATATCATACATACACTATACGTCCTCTGATAACCCAAAAAAATAGAAAGAATCTGATTCTCCTATTTTATCTTTGCCCTTATGGTGGCATTTCCTAAAGTATAATAGGAAAATAGGAATGCAACGGGTAGTAAGCCAGCCACTAATGGGCGGCGAGATGAATGACACCTAATTCCGGCACAGATGTGCTAATAGATGTGGAACTGCTCGACACGGCAGAATACCGTGAGGTGTCCCAAAAGCTAGACACCAGAAATATTTTTTAACCGCCGTTCAGTGGGAACGTGGGGGTGGGTGTCCGCTAGTCTGAAGGAAACTTGTCTGGGTGTAATGCCCCTCTGAGACCCAAAGAGAGGTGTTATAACTGGGTGCTTGGCCGGATGTGTTGTGGTATATTGATCCACCAAAGGTAGCCTTAAATCTGTCTGCCTGATTACTCTGAAGAACCCTTCACGACAGGTAAGTAGATGGGACTCGGATTCCTGACTTAGAAGACGTGGAGTGGTATGTACGAGTGACAAGCTGGCCAGGAGTCTCGTCAGGATAGAGAGTTCCACGACGAGAAAAGGAAAGGTCGTCACGAGATGACTCTTTGCCCTTGCGGGAAGACACAACCACAACCGTGCTACTTGAACGCTCAGGTAGTGAGGCGGATGGGGAGGCGGGGCTGGATGGAACGTTGTCATCTCGGGAGCTGCGGGTGTTGTTGGTAGTGTTGATGACTACTGGCTGTGGTTTCTGAAGTTTGGCCAGGAGACCTAGGTCAAGCGCACGAAGAAGGTCACTGATAACGCTGAACTGAGGTGGGATGTCTATCTCCTTCGGTGTGAACTCGATGTCGGCGGCGGCATATGCTTTACCCTCATGGCTCCGAATGCAGAGAATGAAATTGTGTGCATGTCGAATACCACGGTCACATAGGTTCCTTCCCTTTGTGATGGCCTCTACTGGGTTTGCACAGATTCTGCAGCGGGAAGCGTGTCCGGCATACCGGTCCATGACATGGTATTCCTGGCTTATGGGCATACGGCGGTGGCTAAAGATGGCCGGGGGGCCAGACGGGGAGGTGGTCGAAGGCATTGTGCGTGTTGATGAGGGTCAGTGGTGTTTAACTGGAGATTTGCTGATGAAGTACAAATGAAGTCTTGTTAAGGTAGGCAAGTAATGGGTATCTGTTGTTGTCGTAGTTTGATGCGGAAAATATCTTCCACGGAGGGGTTTGACAGGCCTTTTATATTCCGGGGGGAGGGGGGGCTGATGAGCAAGTAATTAGTTGGAGATATCTTCATTGCAGCAGCTAAAAAAGCTCAGACCTGCTTAGACTTTCGAGCCAAGCCTCCTGTCAGTATCCGCGCTGGGCAACCCTATTTTACGAGATCGGAGGATGCAGCTTGCACCCAATAGTAATGCTGCGGAGTGAGGCTTAGCCAATCGAAGAAAACCGTCTTGCTGGTGCCTATTATTACTAATGAGAATCAGCCAAGCGTGAAAGGTGGATGCCTAAACCCTCACACCCTCCACGCTCTAGGATGTGTGCGCAGCCAGCTGGGATATGCAAGGCGGAACATTCCATTGCATTGACACTAGGCTTGAAGCAGGAGCCGATGAGAGTTTCCCGAAGTTCACGCAGAGGTTGACCTTATCGCCACCGACTCCTCGGGGGGTATCTTTTTTTTTTTTTTTTTTTTTCCTTTGGATAAGGCCAGCGATGCAATCATGCTCTCATCCAAAGCATGCTGTTCGCGGAATAAGGAAGTTACTATGCCTCCAAATATCTCTCTGTGAACTAACTGGTTATTTACCGCGGCCTAGTTCAACAGTTGCGCCATTCACATAGAGAATGAAAATAATAATGATAATGATGATAATAATACCAAAGATGCCGGCATCAAGGTCATCGCTGGGGTGTCTCTCGTTTTGTGTGAGAGTCGATTGCCGGATGACGCAGAACTCAAGGAAAATTACCTTGGCCTTTGTCTGTTTTTACTGCTTGGTGCATGGGGTGACTAGCATTGCCCAATAACAGTTGTCGAAATATTGAATATTCACTCCTCGAGCTAGCTATTGAGTAAGATGGGTTCAACCATTCTATTCGCTCAGATGACCACTCATAGTTTTTGAGGGGTGATGACCAGGCAGCGCAAATCGTCTCATTGAGTCACTTGCAGATACACTTTGCAAACTCGCTTTCGCCCACGCCCGAGCACTTGAGGCTCAAGGATGCTCAGTCTGCCTTTCTTTTAGCGTCAAAAGCCACATCTCGCGATGGATGAGGCTGGTGAGAGCTAGTTGAGGGGGAGGAAAACTCATGCGAAGTTGCAAAGAACTTAACCTGTATCCGAGCATCTTTCGCGCCGAAGCCACACCCGGGGAGCCAGAGTTGTTAATCCGCGTTTCGCGTTCTTAGTCTGACTCGAGCCACAGACTAACAAACGAGCGAGGCTGGTGCTGGCCCCCTTTTCCCTCCTTGCACCGCCTCTGCCCTCCCAGCAGACTGACCACCCCAGCTGAGATGAACCTCAAGCTTGCCGCGAACGGCTAGCGTCTCTCTCTTCCAAGCCTGAGCCCTCGCTTGTTGGCTGTCAGGGGCAGCACTCCTGTCCTCCCTCCCAACATCTCGCGCTTTGCTTCTTCTTCTTCACGTTGGCTGTTGTCTTTCGCTTGCTCCTCGTCAGCTTTTCGATGTTTGACGTTGAAAAAAGGCGTTTCTATTTTTGCAAGGTCACATGACACAAGCAAACAAAACAAACTTCTATTTATGGCTTTTTCTTCCTAAGCGCCCAACGTCGAGCTGTCAAAAAACGACAACGAGCAACGTTGGCCATACAAGACATCAACCGACAGCCATTCTACGACAGTCAGGGCCAAGGGGGCTCAAGGGGCTGGTTTGAGCCACAGAGATGGGTTGGGTGACCTGCTCTAGAGGGTATACTTCCGCGCTTGCGCCTCAAACTCTCTGTTACTCCCAGCACAAGCGATGATCTCCAAGCCGGAATGGAGACTTTTCTCGTGTTCAAATGGACCATTCCTCAATAAGACGAAAAGCAGCTCTGCTATAACGGCCTATAGAGTGAGGGCCGCTGCAAAATACCCTTGATACTTAGAAGCGACTGCCATAATTGGGCCTCCTCACTCGTGGGGGTAGGGGATATGCTCTGGAGGAGTCGTGCTAGACTCTTCTCCCTACCAAAACTTCATATTTGTTTTCGTATCAGCCTTGCAGTGAATAAAAAACTCTCTCTGTTGACGTCACGGAGGGGACTTCCAACTTGGGGTGCAGACATTGCAAAGCGTTTGTGCCATAGCACTAACGACAGGCTATGCTTTGGTGCCTTGTTACCGCGTTGACCCCTATGGTGACACTCTTCGACATCTAAGGTGTTTAGACCTAAGAATTCTGCCTTGCATTGCTCTGGTCTTAGTGACTACCAGTCCAGACCGGAGTATGCATTCATTTTCATTTGCCAGTGGCAATAAACCCCCGGAAAACTTCAAAGATCGGGGAGATTGCATAGCCTACCTACGCCGTACTATCCTCAGTCCAAGTTTCTCATCCTCCTTCTCTTTCCCACATCACATTTTTCCTGTTTCTTTTCCCTGCACGCTAATCACCAATGAAATCGCGCAGGTTGGCGCTGGCCGCCGGTCTGTGACATTCATGCATACTCATGTGGTTTATACTCCAGGCAGCAGTACTCAGATTTCTCCTCGTTCCTCATTCCCACATTTATCCCGGGCCAATAACTCTTTTGGAGTGATGAGCGAGCGGCATACACGCAGACTTTCTCTACCATGACTGGATCCTGCCCTCCACTACGGCCTGATATCCACTTCTATTTAGCTGACTGATCTTTCTTTTTCCTCCGTCATCGTTGTCTAGAATGTGCTATTCATTTCCATGTAAGCAGGAATGTGCCCGGGGTGATTAAAATCCCTCCCAGGTATCCTTGTTAGCATACCCATATCCTCTTTCGGATGTCTCCCGCTTCTTCTTGCTAAGCCCCGGCATCGCCGAAGGTATGGTAGGCTCGTCACAGTCACAACCATGAAGTAAGGCAACCTTACATAGGTATGAATGACGCCGCTGCTCCGAAGCAACCCGCTACATTCGGTCCGTGGCTCTATGCCAAGGTTCAAGCCTTTTTATCAACTCTTCCCCCATACAGTGTGTTGAGAATAATCAATCCTACCGGCTGGGGTAAATTGACTATTGACTATATTCGATTCCATAATACGGTCACTACTTGCATATTGTTGCGGTTGCTGACCCGGTCAAACAGCCGATAACGAAGCATCCTCCGGTGGGGATGGCATATCTAGCCTTATTCTCATGAAAATAACACGGGGGAGCCATGGCCTGACATGATGTCAGTATGACTGAATATTTCTGGCTGCGGCATCCTTTCTCCCCTCTTTTCCCCTTTCCCTTTCCTTTTTCTCCTTCCCGTAGTTACTATTACTTGGTTCTTTTCTTTTTCTATTTTTTTCCTTTGGTTTCTCTTCCTGCATATTACCTAGTACAGGCAGGAGTAATCCCCTTAGCTTAGCACGGCATCATTTTGCCACAAAATGCGGCGCTTCCACCCATAGCCCCGACCGTATATCTGGAATATACACGGCTATAGTGTCCCGACTCAAAGATACCAAACTACTATACTTCTTCATGAGCACTGCCTCACTACATAGCCATTGGCCTCCTAGCTGCTTTTATGCATGCTATCTCTTGTTCAGCTTTCGTTTGCCACATTGCCAGACGCAAGCGTTACTGTAGGGACGGGGGTCTATTTACGGCACTACCCGTGCTAGAAACAATTTGTTTACTGCATGGAAGCTGTTGACATAAACCCGAGTGTATATCACATATTTCCAACCCGGTTCTCTCAACTAATATTTGTCTGACATAGAGCATTCCACCATTAGGCAAACTGTCAAATCAGATTCCCGAGGTCAAATTTTACCCCCGACAAGTATGAAGGTCCAAAGTGATGAAAGACAACGGGTTTTCCAGGCATACCGGCCACTCTTCGCTGGAGAAAGCGCGTTGATCCGAAAGAAAAAGGCGATAATTAAGAGAATTGAGTCTCTTAAATGCCCTGATGCTGATTTGATTACGGACCTAGGTCAGGACAAAATTGTGAATATCTTACAGTCGCTATTAACAGATGATGCTTTTGCCGCCGAACCTATAGCCAATGAACCGCCGAGTGCAGTATTGCTTCGTCAACAAACAACTAGAACGGGAGCTAATGCTAAAATACCGGATCTTTCAAAGTCGACAGAGCCAAGTTGCGATAATAGAGAGCTGGACAAAATCGATCGTAGCGGCGTTATAGATAACAGTGCGGTGGATAAAGACCTCGAGAACTCTTCTTCTAAATGTATAGGCTTCTCTATGGCCTCGCGCTCAGATGCTTATGAAAGGTTGTGTGTACTAATTGTTTTGTAGATGAAGTCGCAAGCCAAGTTTTCTCAGATGATGCCTCGACAAATCTCTCCCATGCCCCTTTCCAAATACAACATCTGGTTCTCACGAATATACAGACCCTCCTCGAACAGGCATGCTTCGACTTTGCGTCTAAATGGGCTCCTGAGCTGATATCAACGGAGATGTGGGACTGTCCGGAAGCCATTGAGCTGAGTAAATGGACCTTGGTCTTGAACAAAGTCATCCACAAAATTCCTATTAACGCCTTCAATGCCGAGGAATATCCAAACATAAGGGCAATCCTTCACTCTGGTTATGAGATCCGGAACATCGCCGTTCACCGTAAGCGGGTAAGTCTTCAGAAGCTTGAAGATATCACGCAGGCTGCGGTTTTGTTTCTGCGAGCAATTCGTGATAACAACAGAGAGCTCCAGCTCTCCAGCGTGCATGCGGTGATGAGTGTGTTTATGTGGTCGCTGGAATCCCGACGACAGATCATCGAAGCTCGGTTTCGGGAAGAACTTGAAGAGATACAGCGCGTTCGTAAGACTCTGGATCTGAGGGAAAAAGAGGCTGAGATAGCGATGAGAACTGCGAATGCGAAAGTCAACGACCTTACTAAGTACATGCTGGAGCATTCTCTACAGGAGATATTTGGTGGAAAAGTGTAGCCGTGGGAGATATTCGGAATACCTTTTACCATACACAGTTTTGAGCGTGAATGTGTTACTATAGAATGGCAGGTTCTGGATTTTGAGCATGCATATGTGGTAGAATTTCTGAGTCCTAGCCAAGGTAGGAAAAGGGTAATACTTCCACTGCTTGAGTTACAATCGCATTGGCATGAATTATTCCCCAAGTAAACATTCAAGGGTATCAGTAACTAACAGTGGCATTGAGCGCTCTATAATATACATCCTAATAACTCCTGTCCTTTAATGGCTGTAGAGATGTGCCAGGGGAGGCTATTATTTCCCCAAGAACAGACAAGGCCTCTTGTCCTAGTCAGAGAAGACATATCCCGAAATATACTTAGTAAATCCTTCAGGACAATGCTGGGGGGAATTCGACTTTGGAAGTGTATCAGATTAACCATCAAAGAGGCTTTCCAGTCAGAGTCACTGGTGCCGCTACGATGAATAAGATATCCATTTGCGAGAGCCGGTTTGTAATTGGTGAACGAGTGGGAGTTATTCAAGCGCTGTGATAGAACCAAGGCCCAGGAATCGTCGGACTTGTCGACTAGAAGTGTTTCAGTATTCGTTTCTACCGATATCTGGGTAGGATGAACCTGAAGGTAGGATTGGGCCTGAGGTTGGGATGATTCGGATGAAAAATTCGGTGTATTAGATATATTAGGTGGGGTTGGGGCGCTGGTTGATGGATCAGGAGAAGATATGCTGGGCTTTGGAGTAGAAACCGGAGTTGACGCATTGCCAGATTGGTAGAGGGTATTCAATTGAGGTGGGGGAGGGGGTAGTTTCAAGCGTAGGTTTGGTTCTGTATTGACGGTGAGTAGGATAAGATCCACCAGACCGGAGTGATGTTGGTTGTGGCGAGCCGCAAGATTTGTCCAAGCTATACCAAGCGGTCAGTGCTTTTGGTCTTTTCATAGATAACAGTCTTAGGGCAAGAGCTGGATTTGTACCTGTTATTTCCTCGGTGTCCATTGGCTCATCCTTTGCAAGAACAACACGCCAACGGCAGCGAGACATTCCTGTCATGTCCACCATCACTTGCCAAATGTCTTCTCGAACTTCAGATAGAGGTCTACACGTATGAGAGACGTCTCGTCGTAGTGAATAGGAAAGGGTTAGCTGGCGCAAGCCTAGGTTATCACACCACGCCGCAGTAACCCACCGCTGATCCTGGCTAACAGAATATGCTACATGACATGCCTGCCCAGCATCCATGGGAGAACCTTCCTCTGTGGTTAACCGGAAAGGAATCATCTTTGGAACTGATGTTGCTAGGGTAAATGCAGGAGCGCCCGCAAACGCATCCGATATGGGGTCTTGTGGGGGACAGCGGGAGTAGACCTCTAATGCAAGTCGGAGATAGTCATTTTGTGTGGGTATTACCAACGAATCATCACCAGTGATAAAGTCGGATGGGATTATCTGCAATACCAATTCATTGAGGCGACGGACTGAACGCTTGTCAGCCTCTTCCACATATTTACGAAAGAGGCGTAAGAAAGCTACACATATATCAACCATCGCTGCACCTATCTTGAAAGGATTAACGATGTACACAACGACAGTTTTGTTGTTCATCGATAGATTTGACAGCGCAATTCCTATTTCGAGTGTTAATATTAATGGAAATTTGGGAAGGTTTATCTATCACGTACCTAAAGATTCACAGATATGCTGTAACCTCCGCATAATTGATGTATAGTCTAGCTTATCCTGACTCAGGGACCATGGAACCAAACCCTTTGCGCTACCATGACGGGCGAATGTACCAAGATTGGCACCCAAGTATGTTAAACCCAGCCTATCAAGAAAGGCATTGGCGCTCTCTTGCATAGACACAGGGTGTAGGCAATAGGAAATGATATCCTTCTTGCCCTTGAGAGGTTCAAGGCCGAATGTTTCCCAAAAGGATATAGCGGTTGGTAGGACTTCGAGAGAGCAATTTCCACGCCTAATGTGCATATGAGGTGGCCTTAAATTAACGATGGCGCCGCCCGTGGTATCCTTAATTTGCTGGCTGGGTCCAATGTCACTTATTGATGCATAACTCTTAAGGCTGGGCCTACGAGATTGGCCCAGTGCGTTGATGTCATCTATTGACGCCTGCCAAATATCTTTCTCATTCTCCTCGTAGGCGATCTCCGTTTTATGCGTCAAAGTAGATTGAGTAATTTGGTCGACCAAAAGCTGTGCCACATGGAGCGTCTCATCTCGACCGCAGAGAGCTGAGCGAATGCTGGGTTCGAACGCTGTAAAGTATTTTGACAATAACCAATCAGTAGCTGGGTAGATAAGCCCAGCTAATAGCACATCCTCTTCCAAATCAGAGTGTGTTGAATAACGCTTTCTAACATTAAATCCAGGACTTTGTAGAGAAGAACTAACTGAGAAGATTTCCTCCAAATCTCCCCTCCTTAACCTGTTATCGATGGGATCAACGGGGCGCATCTTATTGAACCCAGCCTGTTCATAGTGATCCCCTGAAACAGAGGACGTAGAGGAGGTAGAAGACGAGCATCGTTCGCTGTCTGCGCCATCCAAGCGTTCATTAATCTTACGAGGGTATACATGCTGCCCTAACTTATAGACTGGTGCTGACGAATCATTAACCATGGGTATTTTCGTCGTATGTGAATCCGCATTGTAATTGAAGGTTTTATGATCGGGGAGGAACCAGAATCTACCATCAATCCCATATTTTCTGTCGGAGAAGTCAAGCCCATGCCGGAACGATACTGCATCATAACGACCTTTATGTTGCCCTGATTGATTGCTTGCTTCTACTGGAAGTTTTGTGGCGGAGTTAATCGTGTTTTTAGGCTTCTCTGAACTCCCTTTCGGGCTCGAAAATAAAATACGTTTTACTCCTGATGGGCTTAGTGGTGGGCTTATTGGACGTTCCGTATTCCTATCTGTGTCTGCCGCTCTAGCCGTGGGTTGGCTGCTTTTAATTTCACTTTGTCCTTGATTTGCGCCTTCTTCCACAAGATTGTCTAACATTGGAGTTTCCATTCCGTGGGACTCGGTAGGCGGAACTGGTTCTAATGAGGCTAGTGACTCACTCATCTCCAGATCTGGCTTTGATTCTGCCGTGGGGTGGTCTGATATGACGAAATTATGGCTTGGGTTCCCGGAATCAACGTCCAGGTTGGTGTCAGAGAGCCCAGGTTCGTCAAAAAAATTGAAATCTGCCTCGGTAATTCCTTTGTTATCAAAATTGTCATCCATCTCTTCGAATAAGTCATCATCGGCCGTGTCATACATCCCAGTACCGGTACCGAGCCCAGGAGATGTTGCTTCTAGCAAATTTCGGGTATTAGGATTTAAGGATTCGGTTATGTTAGCATCAGGTTCCTCCCTAGAAATATGGGATAGTTCAAGAGGGTACTGCCCGCCGGAGTGATCGGAAGAAAGTTGCCCGAAACCTAATGTACCTCCTGGAGGAGTTGGATATACCGTAGCTGGATGGAAATCTGGACATAAAAATGCTCTTGCCATGCTCTCAGTTGTGTTTGGGATATCAATTCCATCGGGTGATGCCAGTGTTTCGCTTCGAGGGTGTTGCTCGGGGTGCTGAGCTACATCTGATGGAGCATTCCGTGATAAAACCTCGTCTCTAGGTACAGAGCATTTTAACCACTGGCGAGCGTACTGTAGAGGTCCCAGACTGTCGCGGGATAAAGTCTCAGCTCCTTGAATTGGAGAGCTAGTGGGGAAACGGGCTTTTTTGAAACATAACTGTGCTGGCCAGTAAATTCTTCGGGTACCAGTAGCCTTACCCTGGCCTAACCTTTGATGACGGGTCACCACTTCAACCTGTACCCATCTCATGTTATCTGATATCTCTATAGGAACTCCTGTTCTCTCAAGCCAAGAGCAAACCGCCAATTTCCATGGATCCTGACCCTCGCTAGAGAACCCGTTCCTTGAACTATGCATGTTGTTGGAGTGATATGAGTTGCCGGTACCAAGCGCATATTCACTACCCCCTATACCTATATACCTTGCTATTGTTCCTGCGGGAGCAAGCCATATATTGTCATGCAATCGTAATTCACCAATGCTACTGACCCCAAGGCCTTCTGAAAGTTGGCTTATTCCAGGTTGGGATCTGGATCGAAGAGATATGACCACCTTGCCACTTTGGGACAATTCAATATCCAGTGTTGAAATAACGGAGGTAGAAGTACCGCCAGGGGACATGTCAGAATCTGCGGCTGTGAAGAAGGTCCGTTTCCCGAGGGGTATAGCCCCATGACGCTTAGTCAAATGAAGCGACAGTGACCAAGCTATTGAGTTAATGAACGACGCATATAGAGACGAATGCGTTAGTTCCAAGGATGCGGGCATCTCTAGCTTATTTCTGCTCGATAGATTCTCAGCCAAACTAGAATTTCGGGTGTTTTCTGAGGATTTGGATAGTAGCTTTTGAGCAAGTTCAGCTATAGACGTAGTTCCTCCACAATATTCTATAAATCCTAGTCAGTAATTATCCCTGTATAATTACTTAAGAGTAGCGTACCGTATATTGGCACTTGTCCAACAATTAGGTCTTCTGAATCCTTGCGCTGATTTGATGCAAATGATTTTAGTCTAGAAAACTCAGCATCAAGTGAGAACACCCAGATTCCAGCTCCATCAGAAGACGGACACGTAAGACACCCAGCCTCTCGTAGTGTTAATGCACACATTTGGATTTTCTTAAAGAGCTGATTAACGGAAGACCCAGAGGTTCCAAGACCACTCCCGTTGGAATCAACTCCATAAACTTTCCAGTGACAGGTCGAGAGTTCATCCTGGTTAGCCGTTAGTGTTAACTGCATCAAGATAGCCCGCTGTTGTAGAGATGGACATACAAAGACTCGACCGTTGGTTTCCGCTCCGATTGGAAACTCCATGATTGCTAAAAATTTCTGTGCAGAGATAACTTTTCGCCATTGAAAGTAAAAGAACAGAAGAGAAATATGCCCAAAACCCCCGTGGCAGCATCTCTAAGGGCAAGATCCAGTAATAATATGACAATAAATGTGACTGGATGTCTCGAAGCCTCCAGGTATGAGAGGCCACCTAGGGCATCCCGTCACACTTTTAAAGGTGGAAAGTCACATAAAGAATAGTAGTTCATCCGCACAGAATCTGGTATCAATAGTGAAGATGACTAGAGGACGAGACAAGCCATGAACACCAGGAGTTGGGTTTGATATCATCACCTTCATCTTCGCGCGTTCGAAAACGTTTTGATTTGACCTCCAATTAAGGTTGCGCTTATATAAGATGAATTTCTCCACGTGATGTAAAGCTTGCACAGGTGCCAGGTAGATTAAAGTTTTGAGATAAAAATAACCTTTTTTTTGTTCGAGGAAATTTTTGGATATTCAACAGGACGAAGAGGAAGCAAAAGGGCCGTGAAAAGGGATCAGCAGGGTGTTAAGCGAGAATGAAGCTTTCCAACCATTCGGCGGTGCCAGTGTACACGATATCTGGCTCGTCTACTGCCAGGCCTCTTCCAGAATGGCTAGCCAGAAGACGGAAGCGAAGCTTGAAAGCAGACGCAGAGTATTCGAACCGAGTGGAACTGCTGCAAGATTTCGAGTTTGAAGAAGCAAGTCAGTGTATTCGGGTTAGTGAGGATGGACAGTGGGTGATGTCCACAGGTCAGTATTGTCGAGTGTCTCCAATGAGCAGATAGATTTCTAATTGGAAACGAAACACAGGTACCTACAAGCCCCAAATGCATGTACATTACCTACCACATTTATCTCTATCGTATGCCCGCCATACAATATCCTTAAATACGACATTCTTGCTCCTATCATCAGATTATTCAAAATCACTTCATTTACAATCAGATCGGTCCCTGGAATTCCATACGCCTTCCGGATGCCATTACACTACCCGTCTGCCTCGATACGGCAGGGATTTGGTGTACGATAGACAATCCGCAGAAGCGCTCACGCCCGCTGTTGGAGTCAATGAGAATGGCATGGGAGAAGTGTTTCGGTTAAACCTGGAGCAGGGTAGGTATATGCGCAGCTATGAAGTTGAGGTTGGAGGTGATGATTTCACCTCTCTTGGTGGAGGAGCCCTTCAAGGTGGCATACACACGGGAAGCGTTAACACCGGAGCAGTAGCTGAGGAAAGTCACAATCTGCTTGCTTTCGGAACGTCAATTGGAACTGTGGAGCTCTGGGATCCTCGCGCAAAAGCCAGAGCGGCTATTCTTCCATCTTATACAAACGAAAAATCAGAAATCACCGCTCTAGAGTTCAACAGATCGGGGCTTACTCTTGCCACAGGATCGTCTAAAGGCCTGATTCATTTATACGATCTTCGATCCCCAATTCCCATTCTCGAAAAGGACCAAGGCTACGGCTACCCCATCCACACATTAACCTTCCTTACTTCATCTATCTCCACTCGCGAGCAGACAAGTGACCCGAAAATTATGTCAGCCGATAAGCGCATTATCAAAATATGGGATCAACGGGATGGTACTCCGTGGACGTCTGTGGAACCAGCTGTTGACATTAACAGTGTAGCCTGGTGCAAAGATAGTGGTATGCTACTAACGGCCAATGAAGGAAGGCAGCAACACTCATTCTTCATTCCACAATTGGGGCCTGCACCAAAGTGGTGCGCATTCCTGGACAACCTCGTTGAAGAAATGGCGGATGACCCTAACGACCCTCATGCGTTTGCTACCGGCCAGTCAGGCTCTGTTTATGATAATTACAAGTTCCTCACTGTTCCTCAGTTGCGTACTTTGAACTTGGACCATCTCATTGGAACCACTACATTACTACGTCCGTACATGCATGGTTACTTCGTTGCCCAACGATTGTATGAAGAGGCACGACTTATCGCCAACCCGTTCATATGGGAAGAAGAAAGGGAGAGGAAAATCAAAGAGAAGATTGATAAAGAGAGAGAGAGCCGTGTTCGTGGAAAGAAGAAGGTTGCAGCCAAGGTTAACCGAAAGCTTGCAGAGAGACTACTTGAGAAGGAAGAGAAAAGAGAACGGCTTCAGGCCCGGAGGGTATTGGCGCAAGGAGGAGATGATAATGCCAAGAAGGAAGAGAATGGTACCGGCCCTGCTGAATCAAGCACTGGCGGCTTACTTGGTGATTCACGTTTCAGCAAACTGTTCGATGATCAAGACTTCGCGATTGACGAGAACTCGAGAGAATACCTTCTCACTCACTCGGGCAATGCTCCTGTGGCTACCCCTAAGCCCGAGAGAGGATTGACAGCTGTTGAGGAGGAAGCTATTGATGAAGTACCAGCTTCAAGCTCAGATAACTCGTCTTCGGAAGATGAAGGTCCACGACCGACACGGGAGCCGTCTTCTAATCAGATATCTACTGCTTCTTATAGGCGAGGCAAACCCAGACAGCCTCAGATGCAAGTGACCTCATCGTCTAAGGCCTCACGCACGCACGATCGTTCATTTGAGTCCAGAGTTCGTAAGCACCAAACCAAGGAGCGCCCTTCAGTAGCGCGATCAGGGGGGGAGAAAACTGTCACTTTTGCACCTCAGCCGAAATCCAAGTCTAGACCAGTGGCCGACAATATTGATCGGACGAGCTACCGGAAGAAAGACCGCAGAAGTGCCTCCGGAAATACATTCAGAAACATGTAAGAGTAGCGTTGCTTATATACCCGTACAATATCTGCTAGGAAACCCGGTATAGAAAGATACGGATAATGCCTGCCTCGCCCTCTCTTGGTACCTGCATGGCATTTACAAACGAGTCTACGGCTCTATGTAGCCAACCGGAACCGACATCAGACCTAACGTGATACTCAAATGCGACATGTTTCGGTCAATTGGCTAATTTGCATATCCCTGAATGCCTCAAGTGACCCGTGAATAGAAACAAAGTCGACTGGCAAATGCTGGTAATTATTGATGGTTAGGCTGGGAGTTAATGAGCCTAGTAAACCGAACCTCTACGGCCGGTTGCTATCTGACCTGCGACGCAGCTCCAGTGAGAGCAAGCAGGAAGAAGACATATCCGGCCTTAAGGTTCCATCGGGCTTTGATAGCCTCCAATGAGATGCTCAAGTCTCGTCTATTTTGTACAACCCTAGAGCTGCTACATCTATGTATTACTAAAATTATGACAACATATATAATGAAAGGCATCACTACATCTATTATTGGAACTCCTACCCCGGGGGGAAGACTGATCAATCACTCTAAGCACGGCTGCACTCTACCTTGGCTACAATCTCGTTGACTTTCTCCAAGCTTGCGCCGGTTCCATTCTCATACCTCTCCCAGAAGTTACTTGTATCGTTCACCCTCGGGTAAGGAACATCAGGGACAGGCACGCCCAGGAACTTGCAGAGAGGCTCCCATCCATCCTTCGCCTCGAACTCGAGTAAGTTGTCCGCTGGAACTAAGTCACGGACCATCTGGTAGTGCTGTTCCCAGACCTCCTTTCCATTCTTGCGGAAATCGCCGTGAAACAAATTGCCCCATAGTAGATTGAGCATCTCCACTCGCTTCCCTTGGATACCCAGCTCCCTGTTGGCAATATGGGCCTTGTGAATAGTGTCGAGAACAGAACTTAATAAGAGTCAGAAATTGAAACATGGGCATATTGTAGTGTATACTGCAGGGCGGTACTTACTTGTACCATTTATCAACGTCTCTCTTGTTTAACACAACCTTAGCGTCCGGGTAAGCCGCCACGAGTTCAGGAATAAAGACGCAACCGGGAGCGTCAGTTGTAGCCTTGAGGCAAGTAAGCTTTCCGTTTCCGGGAAGTCTGTTATTATCTGGCATCATACCTGGCAATGACCCAGTAGAGCGTCCCAATCCTTCTTTTCAAAGCTGCCGACGCCTTCAAATTTCGCACGAGCAGCATCGATCCACATTTCGCAATCCCTTTGGTTCTCTACGGCACAGGAAACCATATGGTATGTGTCTTCGAAACCGAGTATTTTCAGGGCTGTCCTAAGAGCTGGTGGATAGATCAGTACAACACTATAGCCTGGGTGGATGAGGGTGATCTGGTGATGGGCAGCAGAGCCAACAACATACAGAGTGTTCCGGTACGAGGCATCCCCGCGCATATCACTTTCATAGGGACCACGCGGGTACAGGTTCGCCTGTCAATATCAGTGATGACTGGGTTCTCCATACTTGATAGACAATAAATGTTTCGTGTAGCTGCGGTAGGAATGGTAGAGGATTCAACGCTGGATACTCGATTTAAGAAGATGTGGTAGATAGACGAGCGCAGAACAGAACAGGCCAACTGCGTCGCATTTATACCTCAAGTCTTCTACAGCATTTCTTATTCGCATCATGTACCCCACGCATTCGTTTGCAGGCCCGCCTTATTGGCCAAGGGTGAGAATCCTTGAGCTCCCTCACGAACGCTTCACAGGGTCGACAGGCGGGCTGTAAGGTGCCGACATCCCGTTTGATGAAAGCATCAGATACGATTTTCAGAGTGGACAGACGGCCCGGGATGTTCTTTGATACTCGCTATCTCCGACCCCGGCGGCCTTATTGACCTTCAATACCGGCCTCCCCTCAGCCCACAAGCAGGGGCTACGGAGTTATATGGCGGCCCGGGGATAGCGCGAATAGCCCGCCTGCGGCTGTTCGCATGAGAGGATAAAGTTCGGTCCTCAGGGACAGAGCCACCCCGCAGCTAACTGCCTGGCGCAGTGTAGCGCGAAGCTTGTCTCACAGAAAATGAAGTATGTGCTCTGTATTCCGCGCTTTGCAGATTACTGTGTTCTTTAAACTGCGAAGAAAAGAGGATCATTGATCGGACTTTCTATGACTGTAAGTGAAAGGCTGAGAGGACCATCTGCTCGAGAAGTCTTCAGCCTTGAGCCACTCTGCGACTCGGAGATCGAGCTTCACGGATCTGCATCCTGTGGAACACTGCGATTGGTGGACATGCAGATGATGCATGGCCCCAGAAGACCTCCAGCAGAGGGCCAAAAAAAGTATTTGGAGAGCCAAAGTTGTACCCAGGAGATACTTGTACGGGATAGCCAGGGTACACCGGGTCCAGGGTTCATTTGGATATCATTTTCAGGCCAGCTGGATACTACAAGAATTATCAGGACCAGCTAAGGGAACCCAGCCAAGCCGGAACGACGATTTCCGATTTCCACGCAAGGGAGCTCATACAGGAGCAAATAACCTGCAGCTGGTTGCTGGGATGTTAAGAAGGATGACAAGATGACAATGAACTGACGAAGCAAACTAGCGTCTCCCCTTGCGCTTGTCGCCCTCGGTCGCAGACAACGACCGACCGTCCGAGGACACGTTACGACCGACTTGGTCAGCATCTCGGGGAGACAGTAGGAGGCAGGCCGGCGGCCTCCACGTTTTGTCCGTTTCTCGCGACTTGACGTCTTCTTTTTTCGAGTCTCTCTTTGATATATCGAGATTTCGACCTCGAACGTTCCGACTGCCGCTTTCGGTCGAACGGATTACTAAGCTTATTTTGATGACTAATAAATGGTATGATGACGTAAGAAAGAAAGTTAAAAGAGAGGGGGGGGAAAAAAGGGAAAATCAGAGCAAAAACAACATCAAAAAGACGAACAAAAGAGCGAAAGCAGAGAGAAGACACGAATAATTTCAGCCGTCCAGCAAGGAAACAGCAGCTTGATAATCCGGGGGCGCTCGGAGTACAGTAGTAGCTGTGCTTAAGTTGTCCCTGATATACCTCGAAATGTTGGAGCTAACCTACAGCCCACCGGATCTGGATTCCCGAGTGAGAATGAGGATATCAAGGACTTCGACATATAACTCTACCCGAGTTACTGAAGATGTCTTAGCATCCTAACAGCCCAGGGCATACCCCATATATCCTGGGTGGTGGTGAGGAGCACTGTATCCACGGCCGGTACGTTTCCTCCGGCCGAACCAATAGTGCTTTATGGGAGATCGGGAGTATCAGTCTATTTCTCCGATTTGAACCTCCCCAGGCCAGGAAAAGTCGTTCATCCGTACCTAATGGCTAATTGTTAGCTGCCAAGCCTACGCCCTTTGGGATATGGAATCTATGTTCCCGTTGTTCTCAGTACAAAGGGTCCGTTCTGCAGAATTCCAATGTGAAGACCTTCATTTATGGAACCCCCGAGTGGGTGAGAATGTCGAGTATCCTCTATGCTGGCTGTACACTAGGATTGCCCATAGACAAGTGTGAAATCATGCTTGATGAGTATGAGTATCTGGGAGTTGGTGCTTAACCTCGTGCCTGAGATTTTCAATCCCAACCATCTCGAGCCACACGAAGGAGGTCCGTTTATATACTTAGATTACTGAGCTTCGGTGCAACCTTCGGCTCACTGCGTTGGCTCCGAGTAGTAGATAGTATGATTACCGTTTGTTTCATTGTTGTTGCCGCCTTATTGACATGCATAGTGATGATGTGTCACCCATTGAACTACCATGGTCAATGACTATCCTATTGATCGAGCTATAAACAACCGTATAACAAGACATTACTTTCTCTATTCATCTCTCCTGTTTTATACCTGTTTCATTTCCAAGGCAAAACCTTTTGCTAGCTAGCGGAGTCGCGCGGGATGCCAAGCCTCATATGATCACACAACTAGATAAATTCCAACAGTTGCTGTTGCGGTTCCTCAAGACAACAAGCAAACCAACCAACGCAGGGCGAGTAACCATATCAGCCGTCCCGCGGCGACTGCTTCACTATAGAAAAATCTGGCAGGGCGACAGCCCGAGTAACTGCAAGCTTGGCCATATATCAGGACTTTATTTAAGGGCACAGCCAATCCCAACCAGCCATGGCGTCCCGCGCTACTCTTTTCATGACGCCGGCGGAGACCGAGCGGATACAAAAGACAGCCCAGGAACATGTCCGGAAACGCCAGGGGCAGGCTGGCCAGCCTCGAGAGGCCCATGACACGAAGGCCCTGGTCCAGCAAGCCGTTGGTAAGTCCGTGATGGATGACTTTGCAGCGGCAGCGTTAGATTTGGGTACACTGCCAAAGGACAAGAGCGAGGATACCGTGCCAGCATATGCGGTTGGCTGTCAATATCTGCCCTGCACAACCAGCCTGGCGGATCTAGAGCCCATCAAGTTATCAGACCTTCGTATGGAAACGCACCATCGCGGCCGAGTGCTCTCTCTCCGCCGTATCTCCCCAGTGGTCAAGCTAAGGTCGTCTAGCTGGACTATCGTGCAGGAAGCAGGCTCGGATGATGCAGACAGGCTTGAGCTATCCCTCCACAACACAAGAAATGGAGAAGATATATTAGACTCCGCCTCAGCGTTCTTCATTAAGGAGCCTTATTATACCCTTAATACCAATCATGAATCTGTGATTCGCGTCGACCACCCCTCGGATATGATCATTACCACTTACAGTGACAACCCATCCTCGTGGAGGAATAACACAGGCAACAAGGACTCGGCATCCACTGCCTCTAAATCAGCCACCCAGTGTAAGGAAGAAGGAAATGCTGCTCTTGGGAAGAAAGCATACTGGAGGGCCCACGCCTGCTACTCTGATGGTTTAAAATCAATTCCAAAAGACGATGATAGCACACTGCGTAAGGATATCTATCGAAACCGTTCTTACGTCAACCTTCTCCTGCAACGTTACGACGAGGCGATATCTGACGCATTCGCCTCTCTCACTCATGGAACTGAAGAGGAACAGAAGGCCCTTGATGCAAAGGCGTATTCCCGTGCTGGCAGTGCAGCCTACAGCCTTGGTGATTTTCAGGCAGCCAAAGGCTTCTTTGAGGAACAAGAGAAACTCCAGCCGGACGATAGACTGGTCAAGATTAACCTGAAAAGAATAAAACTGCGTTCCCAAGAGAAGGAATCAGGCACATATGATCTACAAAAAGTGGCATCCAGCCTTTCAAAATTGCAGGGCCGAGCCGATGTCGCAAGCTACTATGGATTCACTGAAATCAAGGAAAGCCCTGGAGCCGGACGTGGGCTTTTTGCCACGCGTGATATAGAACCTAACGAAACAATCATGTACGAGAAAGCGTTCTGCGTCGTCTGGAGCCACGACCCGGAGGCAATGTCGTGTCTGACCATTGATATGCGAGACAATGCTAAAATCAGAGTATTCCCGTCTGGTCTACACAAAGCCATAGTACAAAAACTAATGAACAACCCTTCCCAAGTGGAACGCGTGTTGGCCCTCTGTGGAGAGTATGAAGGGCTCGGTAACAAGCTTCGCGAAATTGACGGTCAACCCGTCCTGGATACTTTCCAATTACATGATATTGTCCAGCGCAACGCCTTTGGACCTGGCCAACAGACCGAAAATGAAGATGTCACCAACGCTAGTACCGGCCTCTGGTCTCGGGCATCATACATAAACCATTCCTGTGTCGCAAATACTAAGAAAGACTTTATCGGTGACCTGATTATCCTGCGTGCTACTCGTCGAATTCTAGCTGGTGAGGAACTCACTCATTGCTACGATGATAACAGTGATTATAGCACCAGGGTAGCAACTATTGAGCGAACATGGGGCTTTAAATGCCAATGCAAGCTCTGTGTTGCCGAGGAGGCTGATGGTGAGGAATTACGCCAAAAGCGTGCAAACCTTGAAAAGGAGGTCGGCAATTTTATGAAGAAAGAAAACGCACAGCAGCCAAAGAAAATTGCCATCATCAGGGCCAAGCGTCTGCGTCAGAATATTTTGGACACGTATGATCAGAATAAGTACAAGGACCTACCACGCAGAGCTCTCTTTGGCATCGAGCAATGGTTGCAGGCAGCTCGTGCCTTGTAGTTCTTATGGGAAAGAAAATGTATGTCATATACCGGGTACTGTGCCGCCGAACAAATATACTTACCAGAGCCAAAATTATCCATGTATCTAGATATTATCAAGAATAAAAAAGTGTTCTTAGAGTACCATCGCGCTCAGAGTTTAAAGTACCCAGGCTGCAGATGTTGAAAGACGCCTTCGGGATCATATTTCTTAGCCACATTGTGAAGCCGTTCAATATTGGCCTTTCCGTAGCTTCGAATAGGATCTTGCTTGACACTCGCATAATTCATATAAACAAAGTCGCTCCAGAGTCCCCGTTCCTCAGCCTTTGCTTTTGCTTTCTCAAGCCAGTCAACATATGCGTCGACGACAACCTTATCGTCTTCTGTGTTCTCCCATCTAGCGCTGGGATTCATGATGATAATGGGATTTGTATCATCTAGACCTAACGCATTACCGCCCCGTCTGGCCATTGGTTTGAGCATTGGGGTGCCAATCGGTTCCAGTGAATATACCGGTAGATACCCCTTGACTTTCTTTCGTAGAGGGTCGATAGCCTTAACCCAAAGTTCTAGGAGGTCTGAGAGAAGCTCCGCATCGGCCTCAATCGTTGCTGTCCAGTAACTCTCCCTCAGGCCATTGGGATTGGCATCATTGAAATCCGTTGCAATCTGTGCCAGTGTAGAAGACTTTACTGTGTCCATCACCCGGCCTGGTTCAGCAAATATCCCATCAAAGACCGCAGGATGGGTGTGGTTGTCCTTCATAGGCTCAGCATATTCCACTTGTGCTACGCAAATATACTGATCGAACTGTTGGACGTATACAACATTCATTATCAACGCGGACTTGGGATCCCGTTCTGCACCGTATCTGGTATATTCCGCCAAATGCCGGAACATGCTCGCATTCTGAGCCCCCGGGTATACCAAATTCCCTCCCCACATCTCTCCCTGTCTTAAAGGGTATGAAAAGACCTCGAACTTAGTGACCAGGCCGAAGTTGTTGCCACCCCCTCGGAGAGCCCAATATAGATCAGTATGTTGATGGGAGCTTGCATGAACAATATCGCCAGAAGCCATGACAACTTCGAAACTCTGAACATTGTCTGCTGCCCATCCATATAGGTTGCTGAAGAAAGAGATGCCTCCTCCAAGTGTCAGGCCGCCAACACCAATATCAGCCACCCTCCCGCCAACAACCGCCAGGTCTTCTTTCTGGAGCTGCGAGTAGACGTTGAGCCAAGTGTTCCCTGTACCTAGAGAGACAGTACGTCTATCTTTGCTCACAATAATGCTCTTTAGGGAGGAAAAGTCGATGGTAAGACCACCGGCAATATTTGAAGCACCAGCCATAGCAGCATGGCCCCCTGATTTTGCTGCAAAGGGGCACCCGGTACGGCGGCAGATTTTGATAGCAGCAGCGACATCCTGTGATTTTTTAGGACGGAAGAAACATGCTGGAGATGTTTCCGATTGCTGAGAAGACCAGAACTGCGTCTTTTCCTCGTCATAGACGGTGGTATTCGGCAGATTGACCTGGTCTGCAAACTTGCTCGTCAAAGCTTTGCACTGTTTGAAGTTTTTAGTTAACTGATATTACAAGAAACAGCATTATTGCCGTAGAAAGACATACTGCCTGGACGCAATAATCTGATATTGCACTGAGTTGGACCTGAGTCGCCAGGACATCAGCCGAGAAGACAGCAAGCCCGACGAGGCCAGTCGCTAGTTTCTGACCGAAAAATCTCATATCTGCTGGTGACGTCAAGTGTTAAAGAATGCACTTGATTGTCCATCGCAGCGGCCAGAATGAACTGGCAACTACCCCGTATTTCACGTCTCAATAATTGTCAAGCCTTCATGAAGGATCACCAATCAAAATAGAACCTGGCTGAAGAATTTTGCTCTTTGCATGATGTTGAAAGTCAGTTTAGACTAGCAGGCGGATTGAAAACTTCTAATTTCTTGTTCGAAAAACCAGAAACCCTCTCATAGCCATTAGTTATCAACGTTGGCGAAGGGCAGGTTAACTAACATAATAATAAAAAACTCAGATATTATGCTACTATGGAGATCTCGTTATACACAGTGCGTGCTAAATATATCACATAGTACCTGATCCCATTTATCCCTATATGTCCATTCTCTTTGCCCTAGCAGCCTAATATGTGTTATGAAGTCGAATCGAATCGTGACGTCTATGATAAAAACGAAGGAAGACAAAAAGACAACAGCACCAACGCCCGAAGCCGAACCGAAGCCCAATCAACCGGCCGGTGAACCACGGTAACTATTTAAACAACTCAATAACCAAAATAACAAAACAGACAATCGATACCAATCCAACTAACAAACCAATGTGCCAAACTGTAGTTCAAGGAAAAGAAATAAAGAAAGAGGCTGCCGTCCTTTATTTGAACAAAATAGATGTGAGATATATGGCATGGTTCTTTCCAAAAGAAAAACAAAAAAGAAAATAAAAGAAATATGTTGGTAGATGATGTGCGAAATAATAAGAAAGGCAGGGTTAATAGGGGATTAGAGGACCAAACCTGTCAAAGGCACCACGCCACGTAGTACCAATGTACCCGACAAACAGCTATGAAGGCAATGCAAAGGATAAAATAAACAAAAACGGCTGCTGAGGGCATGAATGGAGATGAGAAACCAACTTAATCACAAGTGGTCTGCATCCTTATGGTAGGGGGAGGGAGTGAGGACGAGTGAGCATTACCACTGAAAGCGGCAAATGAGGCGAGCATGATGTATAGAGGCAGCGAGATGGTGACGAGTAAGAGGGCTAACACGGAGACAGCAGCTAGTGCTATCTGTGTGGGCTTGGGTATGTGGATGTAAATGGGCTTGGGCATGGGCAATATGGCAGGGACACCGCCAGCGTCCAACCACAAAAACCACTGTGGACCTGAACAAGAAGACAAGACTCTCCGTCAGAACATGAATAAGAATGGGGCAAGAACATGATCACATATCAACGTGGAACTAGAACCACTTAAACCGCCATGTGCAACGGAGTGTAGAACGGGGGAGATGGGTATAGAGAAATAAAAAAGAACCAAATTAATCCCAAGGATGAAAAGAGCAGGGATTCCCACCACCAGAACCAGAGCCGCCGCCACCATCACTTTCTCGATTATTCTCGCGATCTCGACGTCTGTCGTGGTCCCGTCTTGATTCATGGGTAGTTGTGCGGTGACTGATTCCCGCTCCGAAATCCGACATAGTGAATAATAGTGGCTCGTCTTCGTCCAAAATTCCATTACTGTGAGGATTGGGACTCGATGAAGGGTTTGCATTGCTCCATGGTGAACGGGCGGTGCTGAACCTTCGTGCGCTGGCTCGTCGTGCATGTGTATGTGAAGGATGCACTTGCGGTTCTCGGCCATGTGGTTGAAGAGAAACGCGGGGCTGGTAAGGCAATGCTGTTCTCTCTTTTGTATTCTCTGCATCAAGAGCCTGAGGACTTTCCGTTTGGCGTCTGTCAACCGGGGATGAGACTGCAGGGTGGTTTTCTGCGTCTGGACTAGCAGACTGCAGCAACTCGCTAATAGATGGCGGGGATCTGTCTTGCGCTCCTAAACTGATACTTCTGGTAGTTGTCGGGAATGGCAAGAAGTCAGGAACATCTTCGTCTCCTGTCGCGGTGTTGTTTGAGTTTGCTGTGCTAGTTCGACGCTGAGCAGCAGAACTGGAGCGGCGGAAACTAGAAATGAATGCTCCCCGGTGATGTCGGTTATGTGGAGAGGCAGGCAGCGGTATGTCAATCGCATTGGCCGTAGTGGTTGTTTGGGATTGTGGTCCTGATTCCGATTCTTGGTCAGGCTCAGAGGTTTCTCCCAGAGGAGACTCATGACGAGGAACGCGACGAGAGCGGGTATTTGTGGTGATTATATGGCCCGGTTCGTCGGGACTGGGATACTCGATCACGCTGTTTGAGCTCAGCCTAGATGGAACAGCTGGGGTATGGGGTGTATGTGGGGAGATAGCTTTGCCCGGAGAAGATGATATGGAACCTGAGACGCCGCTAGGTAGCGAGTTTGCTGCGGCCGTGGTTGTCGGGTTGCTTGTTGCGGCTGGAGGAAGGTGTTTGCTAGATGAGGAGGCAGTTGACCGATGTAGTAAGAGAGACGTAGTCATAGAATCTGACAAGGCAGTATTCGCGTCCTTCATCTTCTGGAACCTAAGTAATGTTGCTGTGGTAGTCCTTCTGCTCGATGCTGGATCGAAAGTCGAACCATCAGGACCGTTGGATAACAAATCCTTCCGCTGGTCCAGCATCTTGAGAAACTCGGAGATGTTGTCTTCATCAGTATCGACCACAGGGAAAACACCAGAGGTCGAATCTCGCTGTCCTGTTGCCATTGCTGACGATGAACTAATGCTTGCTTTCCCACTTGAGTTATTATCTTCTTCGGTCTTGCTTCCTCCGCCGGTAGAGAGGCGGCCACGCCTGTGGCTGAACGAGCTGCTATACTTTGAGATAGGAGCTTGTTTTGGAGAAGCGGACATTGAGGAGAAGACAGCCTGCTCGGGCAAAACGTGCGCTGAGAGAGGGCGGGTGGATGGGTTCGGTATTCTCCTGGGAGATGGAGCGGCCCCTAGGACATTCTGGGTTGGGTTGACGCTTATATTTGAGGGTTCCCTGGTTGATGGGCTACGAGGAGCGCCGGGGCCAGGAGAAGCTGAGAGTGGTGGTGCCTTAAATGGTTGGTAGGAGATTGACGGCCTGCGTTGTAGTGAATGTCCATCTTCTCCAGAAAGTGAAGCAACCCGTGCATGACCAAGCTTGGGTGAAGGCATCTGTGTTGGAGAAGAAGGCGAGCCACCAGCTAAATCCCTAGCTGCACGGAGGGCAGATATGGGACTTCCCTTGATGCTTGGATCGGCACGATGGAAGGTCGACATGCTGCCATATGCTTGGCTGAGATCCGGATTGTTCGAGGCCCTATACTTTGCCGGCAACGAGCCGATATCTACGTTTTGGGCTCGAGCTTGCTC